CTTTGGGTTGATCTCTTTTTTTTTCTCCTGCCACCATCTGGAAATTCAGTTCTGGATTGGAAAGTGAAAAGTTGAGGGAGAAGTCTACTAATGTAGTTCTCCATTGTTTTATGGGCTGGTATAAGCCTAAACCTTATCAGGGTACATACAAATATCTGAGAGCAGCATTTCTCAACCTTGGGGTCCGGACCCTGGGGGGAGGGGTCATGAGGGGGTGTCAGAGGTGTTGCCAAAGACCATCCAAAAACACAGTATTTTATGCTGGTCATGGGGGTTCTGTGTGGGAAGTTTGGCCCAATTCTATCATTGGTGGGGTTCAGAATGCTCAGTAACTACAACTTTCCCAGTATCTTTTCCCAGAATGCTCAATAACTACAACTTTCAAATGTCAAACTATATTTTCTCCAAACTTCACCAGTGTTCACATATGGGAATATTGAGTATTTGTGCCAAGTTTGGTCCAGACCCATCATTGTATGAGTCCACAGTTCTCTCTGGATGCAGGTGAACTACAGCTCCAAAACTCTAGGTCAATGCACACTAAACCCTTCCAGTATTTTCTGTTGGTCCTGGGAGTTCAGTGTGCCAAGTTTGGTTCAATTCCATAGTTGGTAGAGTTCAGAATGCTCTTTGATTGTAGGTGAACTATAAGTTCCAGCAACTACAACTCCCAAATGACAATAGCCACACACACTCCAACCCCACCAGTATTCAAATGTGGGTGTATTGGGTATTTGTGCCAAATTTGGTCCAGCGAATGACAATACATCCTGCATATCAGATATTTACATTACGATGCATAACAGTAGCAAAATTACAGTTATGAAGTAACAACAAAAATAATGTTATGGTTAGGGGTCACCACAACATGATAAACTGTATTAAGGGGTCGTGGCATTAGGAGGTTTTAGAAACACTGTCTTAGAGGAACTGATCCCAAGGAATAACAAACTCTGTATCTTCCTATGCTAGCCTAGGAATGTTCTTTGTTCTTTAGCTTCTGTTGTTTTTGCCAGCATGTTGTTCATTTGCTACATTGCAGACTACAGACAGCTACAATTTTCTGTCCTCAAGCAAAAGAGAGAAAAGAAAAGAAAAGAAAAGAAAAGAAAAGAAAAGAAAAGAAAAGAAAAGAAAAGAAAAACAGACCTGCATGTGAACCAAAATAAATTCCTTTGCTATGCCATGATGATTTCCAGTTTAGCCTCCAATCCCCAATGGCTGAAGGATAGAAATTGGATTCACACCCTCCTTGCTATCTTTCTGCAAGCAGATAATGATCTTTTCATCCTGGCAGACATTTGAGTTCTTTAAAAAGGGAAACAAGCTTTGTCTAATGTGTCAGATTTCTATTTGTTATTTTTGCATGTTTTTAATTCTCCTATAGTTTGATTGCTTTTCTACTTTCACAGACGGTGTCTTCTTAATCTATGTTTGTTTTAACTCCTGTTAATCCTCTTGATTCCCAAACTGAGAAGAAGATGATACAATGATAACAACACTCTTAAGTTTCATCAGCCTTCACAGAAATTATTTCTGGTTGTTCCCCTGTACATATACTGGAACTGGAATATATGGCAGTGTGGACTTAGGCCGCTTCCTCACAACTGAAAGAAATCCCACATTATCTGCTTTGAACTGGAATATATGGCAGTGTGGACTCAGATATCCCAGTTCAAAGCAGATATTGTGGGATTTTCTGCCTTGATATTCTGGGTTATATACATACGTGTGTGGAAGGACCCACTGTAGGATCAATGCAGTTTGACACCACATCAACAGCCATGACTCAGTGCTATGCAATCTGGGAGCTATACTTTCACAAAGTCTTTCAACTTCCCAACCAGTACTGGTGCCTCACTGGGCCCTTCCACACAGCCCTATATCCCAGAATATCAAGGCAGAAAGTCCCATGATATCTGTTTTGAACTGGGTTATCTGAGCCCACACTCATATAATGTGGGACTTTCTGCCTCGATATTCTGGGATATAGGGCTGTGTGGAAGAGCCCACTGTGAGAGAGACATGCTTTTAAAATGTAATTTTCTAATGCCTGCAACTCCCATAATTTGCAAAGAGGCCTTGCTTCTCAGAGATTGCTGATGCTTGGAAAAAGCTGCCACAGAGGAAAGTGATTGTTCTCTTTTGCTCAAGGATACAAGCTGCAAGATAGTAATGTACACACTCTCTCACTCCCCAATTTCTCACAGGCATGCAGAGAAGCAACATGCAAGTAGATAATCTGGCCTGTGGCTCCATAGATCAGGGTCAAAGACACATGAATGGTACCATTGTTACATGCTTCTGCTGTTGGAAAAGATATAAGAATCAACGAGATTGGGTTGTTGTAAATTTTTCAGGCTGTATGACCATGTTCTAGAAGCATTCTCTCCTGACGTTTCACCTGCATCTATGGCAGACATTCTCAAAGGTTGTGAGGTCTGTTGGAAACTAGGAAAATGGGGTTTATATATCTGTGGAATATCCAGGGTGGGAGAAAGAACTCTTGTCTGTTGGAGCTAGGTGTGAATGTTTCATTTGGCCACCTGGAGCTGAGCTCCAGCTCCTCATGTGGGGACATGAGAGAAGCCTCCCACAAGGATGATAAAAACATCAAATCATCCAGGCGTCCCCTGGGCAACGTCCTTGCAGACGGCCAATTCTCTCACACCAGGAGTCACTCCTGACACGACAAAAAAAAATTGGCCACCTTGATTAGCATTTGATGGCCTGACAGTTTTTTGGTGTGACTTGTTACTGCCTGGGACAATCCTTTGTTGAGAGGTGATTAGCTGTTCCTGATTGTTTCTTATCTGGAGTTCCCCTGTGTTTCAGTGTTGTTTTTTATTTGTTGTTAGAATTTTTAGAGTTTTTTTTAATACTGATAGCCAGATTTTGTTCATTTTCATGGTTTCTTCCTTTCTGTTAAAATTGCCCACATACTTGTGGATTTCAATGGCTTCTATGAGTAGCCTGACATGGTAGTTGTTAGAGTGGTCCAACATTTCTGTGTTCTCAAATAATATGCTGTGTCCTGGTTGGTTCATCAGGTACTCTGCTATGGGTGAC